GCTTAAGCAAATTAATCATAATGGGTCACTTAAAGGAGTATCATATTATTCATCTTATTGTAAGATATTTGATGAAGAACCTCTTATTGGGACTTTAATATGATCAAAATTATTGATGGCATACATGTAATTACTAGGAGAGCTTGATCGAAGGTAGCATGACTCAAAAGTTTAAATGAGCCACCAATATATGATGCATTGATTCTCTTCTTCATCCAATGTACAAATATTCTTCTCAACTAACAAGAAGCTACTATATATAAATGTATACAATGATGTAACTAGCTTGGTCATTGATCCACAAAAATAATATATTGTTTTAAGTACCAATATTGCACTTTAAAGAAAGATATTTTTGTGTTTTTGTTGCAGGTATTTCATTTGTATGCATTTGGAGCAAAAATAGTAAAAAGAGCGAAATTTGGTGCAAAAACAACCAATTTTGGGGTTTGGCGCATGATGTACCAAAATCCAGAGCGCTGGCGCATGATGCGCCAGAAGCGACTTTTTCAACTTAAGGCAGCTTCTGATGCGCCAGAAGCGACTTTTTCAACTTAAGGCAGTTTCAGACAAATTTTGCGCGAATTCCGCGAATTTTCAAAGGGACACTTGTTCTAAGCACCCTATGGAGTGATTCAATGCATGTGGACACTTTGGAAGGTTCCAATTTGAAGGGATTTTAAGGAGACACATTTTCTTAAATTCAAAGTTTTGACTTTTGAATTTTGGAGGGATTTGAGATTCTTTTGAGAAGAGAGAACCAGCGAACAAAAGAGAACCTCTAGAGAGACTAGAAGGGGGGACAAACAGTTAGAAAGAGAGAGGCGTGAGTTAGAGAGAGAAAGGAGGAGATTTTCTTCTAGGATTGTAAGAGGAGAGGGAAAGTGAGAGATTTCTTCTTCATTACACTTCTAAGAGAGAATTGGGAGAGATTGTAAAGAGAGAAAGGCTTGGAGAGAACTTCTAGTGATTTGCTTGGGAAATATTGTGAGTTAGTTGTATTTTTTAATTTTTTTTTTACCTTATTTTCATCTATGAAATCCGTGTTTTATCGTATCATTCTCATGAATTCTGAGTAGTCTTCTTTATCATCTCTCAACTTTGAAGAAATGATTTCGTGAAGAATTGATTTTGTTTTCTACGGTATTAAATATCAATAATTTGAACTCCGATCTTCATTTATTTTTCAATCTGACCAATTGAATTGTTAAAATGTGTTGAGAATTATATGTTCTGAAAAGAGGATATGATTTCTACAACAAAAAGAGAATCACATTTGATTTCATGGGAGAGTATTTCATTTATGGGATTGGGTGCAAATAAATAGGGAAATATACTTTGATGGATGTAGAATTGGAATATTTTAAGGTGACAGATTAGAATCCTCAATTTGGTTCAGTTGATTGGAAACTAATGCGAGCATGTTAGCCCTCAGGGGAGGGATTAGTGGGAGCTTTAGAGTGACAGCCGGTATCCTCCAAACCTAACCATAGAATTAGGGACCAAACTCTACATTAGTCTATGTTCTTTATAGCGCTCAGAACAGGGTAGAGAATAGGATTGCTTCTATTTGACACAAAATAATTTTTTAATATATTTTACAAATGATTTTAATTTCTTCACAAGTCATATTTTAATTGTATAGGGGAAGGATGTTTTCTCATACTTGAATTTTTCGTCAATAAAAACCTTATTTTATTTCAGCAATTTACTTTTGAAGGTTTAGTAGTTAGTTTAATTTACTAGTTATAGTCGTACATCTGCATAGTTAGTAGCATTTCACTTAAGTAGATTAATTTTAAACTTAGCACTTCACTTTGTTTTTATATTATAATAGAATATAAATAACTAGCTTATATATATTTCCAGTTTCCCTGTGGGATTGATATCTAGGACTCTATTAGAGCCCAATAGTACTTGAGTGATACGTATACTTGCGTAGTATGTGAACGAGAATTGGGATTTTAAAGATTTTTAAAGATAAATTATTTTCATCAAAATTATATTATAGTTTGGGTTACATTGCATCATTATTATTAAGCTTAACAAATTCTCGTCGCATCAGCTATGATCAATCATTTTGTGGTGTTTAGAAACTTTTTATAGCTTGATCTTGTTAAGAGGATATGACTAAAATCTAAGAGCTTTTAATAGTTTAAACGATTGCCAATTGAATTTTTTTGGAGGGTGTCCTTTAGAGGTTATTATTACTCCATTGTTCAAATGAGGAAATAACAAGATTCATGAAACCAAATAAGCTAAATTCATGATTATTAAAGCTCTATGTGCCTTCAACTATATCTTTAGGAGTCGTCTACTCAGATGATTCAAGATAATGATGTTTGTTGGCCCCTCACTATCATGTTCTCTTCCTCTAGTGACATTATCAATATCCATAGATATCTAATCTAGTCACAAAAGTGTTATAAAAACACTTATGAAAAATGTTCATAGTATCACACAAAAGATGAAGGAAAAAGTGTGATTGAAGTGCTTGTCGGAGATGAGTAGAACTTCAAGAATAAATTTTACCTTAATTATCTCTGCAAAGTTACTTTCAAAATTTAGACTCTTATATGGTTTTTTACTTAGGAATCATTTGAGATGTTTGAAGTATACACCAAAATCACTAGTCACATGTTACAATTTTATCCTAGCGTACCCAAACGATCGAACATACAAAGAGAAATTCCTCACAAGTTCTAACGTCTAAAAAATCTCAAAACTAAGAATGACTTATATATCACAAGATCGGGTATCGTGTTGACATCCTTCAAAAAAATAATGATTGAGGGACATCTTAAAATTCATCATGAATCATTTCTTATTACAATTCAACTAAAGGAAAAATCAAATCTACCTAATCAAATATTAATGGGTCCGAACTCTTCCCAGACTATCTAGTGATAACCTCAAATTTATTAAAATGCACAACATAAAGAATATGTTGCAGTCCAAAATTAATGCATTAATGATCCACCTCTAAACCATTGTACAATCACAACTAAGAAATAGGTTATCTATAACACTTAGTGAGGCTTCACAAGGAGGTTTGAAGATTACATTCTAATAATTGAACCTAATTGATGAAAGTCAACTCAATAGAGATGGAGCCAACATTGAGATGGTGATGCAACTTATCATGCAGGATATTATAATGCATAATATATTGTTAACTTTATTTTATAAAATATGATCCCCAAAATCAAAATTTCTTGAAGTTAGATAGTCTTAACAAGAGTCTCTCTCTCTCTCTCTCTCTCACACACACACACACACACACACACTCTTTGTGTGTGTGTGTCGCATTAGGGGAGAGAAATTGAAGAGATAGAAAGAGAAAGAGAGAGATTAATGTCATCACTATAAAAACATTAAATTTTAGTGGTTCAAGTTCATTGATTATGTCAAATATATAAAAGTAGGAATGTTTGCTACAATAAATAATTAAGATTATAAAACTCTTATGTGCTATTAGCTAAGAGGATAAGAGATTGGGGTGAAAAAGAGTACAAACATAAGAGTTTCCCTAAACCCTATAACATCCTTCTCTATGAATTCTTGTAAAAAATGTCTCTTTATCAAGAAGCGTGATACAATAAGGAGTCCCCCAACTATTATGTTTGGCTTATACATGTGCTATGATATAAGAATGCTAGAAAAGAGAGGATATGTGTTGGAATCTTAATTTCCCAGAATGGGCGATAAAAAAAGAATAATTGAAGACTTTACCACCATAAAAAAGGTGGTTCAATGAGGGCCCAATATCATTAAAATGGTCTATTAGAATTCTTGATAGTAGTCAAAGGCTGAACAATTCTTGATGATTTCAAAATTCATAATGACTAAAATAAGAATTTAGGTATGTTTGTGCATTTTAAAAAAGAAATTTCAATCCTGATACGACAGTATATCAAAATGTCTCATATTCTTATCAACAACAAAGAAATCAAATTGCACCCTCGCTTGAGTAGGAATTGATTGGACTAACATCTCCCTTGATTAGAAATTTATTGGACTAACTCAAGTCAACCCAATTGATTTGCTTTATTCTAGTTGAGAGACTAATCAACAACCAATAATGATCGAACAATTGTGGCTCGCTCATTCGGCTATTTTGAGTCAAGATTGTCAGTCGGCCTTCAATTGACTTCGAGTCGGCAAGACTGGCTCGAATGGCTAGATTTTGTCGATCGGCTGATCTAGTCTGACTTTCAACTTTCGCCCTTGGTGAGGAGCTCCTGTTAGTTAAGTGATGTTATGTTATTGTACATATGATGAATTACTGTTACCTGATAGGTAGTTTACTCCCTAACATGGAAAAGTTGGAGGAATGACTTAAACTTCTCATAACATGGTTACATCCTGATTCTTGATAAGGAGCATCTAGGGCCTCCGTAGGATGATTGATGGTGATGAGGAGCTTAGTCTTTCCTCAAGTCTGGTCTACCAAAAGGTTGATTAACAGTTTCGATATGTCTTCTTATGATGGTTGGCCTACATGTTTATCTATTTAGTTTTAGTCTCATCAGTCCGGGTTCAAATCATTGGGATGTCTTTATTCTTATTGACTCTAGCTCAGATGGCTGCATCCGATCAGCTTTCGCCTAGGCTTTTGGTGCTACATCAAGTTAGATAAATGAGTCTCCTGGTATTTTGCTGATGGGTCCTCCTTAATTGTACTTTTTCTGCCTATTGAACTATTAGATCTCCCTGAGATTCATGCTAATGCATTCCTGATGTACATATCTTAAGTCGACTTAACCTCCTGCCGCGTCCTTTTAATTTTTCTAAATAGCTTGACATGCATGCTCCATGATCCCAACATCACCATTTTCCTTAGACGTGAATATAACACTAATAATCAATTGTCTTGGTAAGCCTTCTTTGCATGACCAAGAAGCGTTGCCCTAACAACAAAAAGGAACAACAAGATGAAGAAAACCATAAATGAAGAAAGCCTTTTCCACACTTATAAATCTTTGTTAGGAAAATGTGTATTAACTTTAAAAAAGATGGTCGTCGCGATGGCACTATTTCGGATATGATGTTAAGGATTCGAGCGACATGCACCTGAATATAAATATTTAGGCATTATATACGTAAACACATAAGAATTGTGTGCCATGTATGTAAATGCCCCTAATATACAACAACAGCCAGCTATCCTTTCCCAAAAATAAATGCAGACTAGCTGCAGAACAATCTAACAAAAAAAAAAGGCACGACACTACATCCTAGCAACCACATTCTGCACCGAAGCCTTTTTCACAACCCCTCTAGAATACAACTCACCAACCAAATCCACAGCCGCCTCACCAAAGCCTTCATGCACCAATCCCTCAATCAAAATCATGTAGGTCGATTCTGTCGGCATGCAGCCCTGCGCAACCATGTCAGCATACAAATCAATCGCCCTGTCCGTCTCCCTCGCCTTGCACAGCCCCAAAATCACAGAATTATAGATGATTGCATTCGGCCTTATGCGCAGCTCCCGAACCATCTCCATGGCTTCCTCAACCCTCCCTTCTCTGCTAAGCCCTCCAACCAGCGAAGAATAAGTGATCGCATCAGGCTTCAATCCCTTCCCCTCCATCTCCCTCAACAGCCGCAGAGCCTCATCAGTCTTCCCCACCTTCGACAGCCCATGAATCACCGCATTGTAGCTGATAAGCACCGGCCTGCAACCCCTGCTACTTAGCTGGCCCAGCAGCTCCACCGCTACATCAACTTTCCCATCCTTACAGAGCGCAGTAAGCAAGGTGTTGTAGGTGACGATATCAGGATAACATCCCCTCGAAACCATGACATCCAGGTACTCGATTGCTCTATCAATCCTCTTATCCTTGCACAGTGCGTGAAGCAAAGGATTGTAGCTCAGGGAGTTTGGCGTGCAGCCATGTTCGGGCATCTTCTCCAGCATATCGATCGCCCTGCCAATCAATCCTCTGCGGCACAAGTAATTTATCAGAATGTTGAAGGTGACGACGCTGGGATTGCATCCCTTGGTTACCATGTCTGATAAAAGGTTTTCTGCATCCATCCACCTTCCGGTGCTGCAAAGGCTCCTTAGAATTATGTTGTGAGTGATAACGTTAGGGTTGCAGCCGTGGGATGGCATGTTGTTCAGGAAATTAATAGCGTCGTCCAATCTTCCCTCTTTGCATATGCCATTGATGAGGACGTTGTAGGTGACGACGTCCGGAACGCAGCCCTTTGCGCGCATTTCGTCAAGCAGCTTCATGGCGTGATCCACGCCGGTTTCCTTGCAAGTGGCTTCGATTAAGATGGTGTAGGTGAAGACGTCCGGGGCGCAGGCGCGGCGGAGCATATGGTCGAGCAGGTTGAAGGCTTTGTCGAGCTCGCCACGCTCGCAGAGGCTTTGGAAGATGGTGTTGTAGGTGACGACGTCGGGTGGGACGGACATGCGGTGGAGGAGATTGAGGGCTTCGTCGGTCTCGCCTGATTTTGAGTAGCCGGAGATCATGACGTTGTAGGTGATGACGTCGGGAGAGGCGCCGGAGGTTTCTATGATGTCGAGAACGCGGCGGGCAGCGGCGGTGCGGCCGGAGCGGCAGAGGCCGCGGATGAGGCTGGTGGAGGGGATGATGTCGGGGGGGTCGGTGCCGCGGAGGTAGATGGATTCGAGGAGGCGGAGGGCGGAGTCGAGCTCACCGTTGCGGACGAGACGACGGAGAAGGTCGTTTCCGGTGGGGTCGCCGTTGGAGTGGGTGGATGGAGCGGAGATGGAATGGGGAGAGGGTTTGCTTCTGGTGGATCTTTTTGGGAAGGAGATGGTGGTGATTTGGAGTGCATTGGAGTTAGGGGGGACTTTAAGTCTGAAATTGGAGTCGAGAAGAAAAGGGAAGGTCTTTGTTGGAGCTAAAATATCCATTTTTTTCACCCCTGTGGTTTGAGGGAGTGAGGGGGGAGAAGGTTTGATGGTGTGTTTAGGGTTTGGAGGAAGAGGAAGGCGGTGGAGTGTAAGATGGTCCGACGGAACACCGTAACCGCGAGGCGGATGGTCGGTCGTGTGAGAATTTTTTAAATGATATTAATTTGGGGAGTCGGGTATTACTAGTCCCAGGTTGTGTGGGTCATGCCGGGTCGGGTCAAATGGGCTATGAAAATAAAGTGTTGCACTGCCAAGGCCCTCTGTTGCGCAATCGGGTGAGCAACTCGACATGTACAATTATTTTATGACTCGGTTCAAATTAAGATTTTTATGTCCAAATTCAGACCTAGTGGTGCTGTTTGGTTTTATCCAAAAACTCGAACAGAACCGAACCGTTTTAATAACTTGATTTGATTTTGAATTTAAAATTTTGATTTCGGTGTTTAAATGTCTTTCACTTGATTTTCAATTTTCTGTTCTGTTTAAGATAAATTCAACCGAGCCGGTCGAAAACTAAATTCATTTGCCGCGGCCAAATTACTTAAGGTAGCTAGCAAACTAAGCGAAGAAATACAAATTTACTTAATGTGTAAGCCAAAATCATTCACTGCAAAGTATTGAAGTAGTGGTATTCACTCTGCCTCGCGCAGTTCGTCCCTCTTATATCTTGATTTGCTGGCATTTCTTCTTTGGTATATGGCCGAAGGCTCAGCGAGGTACGACCTGAACCTGAGTGGAGGTGTCACAAGGGTGGAAATGGGCTAAGCCTACACCTATGGTAAAGGCACGATTAGTCTTAGATCTCCGGGTTCACATGAATCTCGCCTATTAGTTTTTTCAAACTTTTACTTTCATCCCTCACACTACACTAAGCATACCCCTACCCCTAACTTTCTTCTCCCTATCTCACCACACTAAGCTCACTCGAGCATAGTCTTTATCTCAGAATTTTGTCAATGCTTTGAGTCGTTTGACATTGATCTCTATCTTCTTCTACAACAAAGGTATCATTTTTTAACTCTAAGGGTCTTAATGAGTAGTGGCTTCCTATGCATTGATTTTATCATATTTCAAAACACTAGTCGGCTATGCCTTGTTCAAATCGATCATAATAATAACAAAATCACTTTTTTTCTTTTCAAGCTTAGTGTTGGCCTATAATGCAGCATAGCTATGACGACAGATAAAGTGAGGCTAGCAAAAACATTGGAGACAACTGGCAGAGCCTTCAAAAATATACAGAACAGTGAGCTGTACAAAATCCCATCATAAACAGCTCCCAGGAGAAGAATCAGACTTATGAAATTAGTAGATAAAATTCATCCGACTATTCATCAAGGCAATTCCAATTATCACCTCAAACTGTCATAACTATCATATTGTTTCAATACAAAAATCCAAAGGGGCATTTACATAGATTCCACCCAATTCTTATATATTTACATATCTAGCACTTAACCTTTACTTTTTACATTCATACCATCTGGATCTTTCATATCACATCAAAAGTGAAATACAACTTCTCACGTATAGATAACCTGGCGTATATGTAAAAATTGAAATTTAGGTGTTAGATATGTAAATACATAAGAATTGGGTTGTCTGTATGTAAATCTTTCAAATCCAAAATCACATTTGCACCGACAAAAGATTTAGATCCCAAAATTCCCCTTCAAAAAATAATCCATAAAATTACATAAATACAGTTGGCAATGCCACTCCCAACTCTAAAAGAACAACTTAAATAGAGGCCAAGCACTCACACAGATACAATATTACTTCGCAAGAAAATCAGAACTCTCTTGATATAATCACGCTTCTATCAAATAAACTATGGAGGCATAAATAATCCAAATGATAAACAATGATATTAACATTAAACACGAAAATTTGTAGCCTTCTGCTGATTCAAGTACTTTCTTCAACCTTACAAAGAACAGATGGAAATTGTTAGTTGTTTTAAACTACAAATCAAATACAGCTGACATTTGAGAATTTGATATGAAGTAGGACATTAAGATCCATAAGATAAAAATAATACCGAAGATAAGATTATCCGGATAGTTTTAAGAAGCGAACGTCACATTCCCTGGAGGTGGAAGAGCAACAACTTTACCTACTGCAATTGTTTTACCTATAAAAACAAATTTATGAGCGAACATATCTTTGGAATTAATAAGATGACATCACTGAAATTTCATTAATTACGTTACCTTCAGTACGTAGAGTAAATCGCCCGAGCTGTGGGAAATTGGTGAAGTTCTCGACGCAAATCAAGTTATTTACCTGGAGGTGAAACAAGTTCAGCATGATGAGGGGGGATAAAGTTTGTTCATGAATTTGATTTTGTTTGAAGAACGACCTGTACTCTGCAAACAACAACAGCGCCATTCTTGACAAAGAGAGGTTTCCTCTTGGGCTTCCTTTTCTTTGGATCAGCATCTTTCTTCTTCTTCACATCAATTTCCTCTATGAGCTCTACAATCTCCGACTCCTCAACAACGGAATGGATGTGCAGTATAGCTTTGTAACCGGCAGTGAAAATTGCCTGGACAGTTTCATGAAGCACTAGTTATTTACCTGGATTGTCATTCTTCTAAATAAAAAACGTTGGCTAAGAGTGGGATTTTAAAACCCCTGTATTTACTTTGAAATGAGTGTAAAGCATGCATAATCAATTGCTCTTGTTTTGCACCCTTTTCAAAGCAAATTCATTTAAAACTATCCTGGCAACTTTTGGAGAGGATATTCCCAACCAATTTTTTCCCCTTAACAGTAAGTCAATAAAACTAAAGGAAAAAAACGGAGGGGGGTAGTATTTTACATACGTTCTACCCAATTCCTATTTATTTACATATCCAACACCTAATTTTTACTTTTTACATTAATACCACTCATATCTTCAATATCACGTCAAAAATACCACAATTGTTAGCTTTTAAAACGTAAAATGAGTATTTTCATGCATGTTTAAGGAGGTACATACATAAAAATAGAAGTTCAGTCGTTAGATATGTAATTACATAGGAATTAAGTGGTATGTATGTAAATCTCTTAAATAAATAATTACTCACGTTATCAAGAAGCTCTAGAATTTGCAGCTGAGCATTAAATTCAAAAACCGCATTAACTGGATCAGCTGCAAAAAAATGGTATTAATCCATCAACACCAGCTAATAGACAAAGGCAATTCACAAATGCAGTATGCAGGCGGAAAGAAGACTGTTCTTTGCAAATGCCATTAGCAGAGAGCCATTGCAACAACAAATCTCAGTTATTTAATAGCTGTGCATAAAACAGCAAATCGTTTTGACACACTAATTCTTATGATTTCAATTTTGTTCCTCATTTTTGTTTTGCAAGCAGTCCTGCAATCTTTTGATTCTTAACACAAGCAGCAGCCTGTGAGAGTTAATTTTAGAGAAAATATTAAAAAAGTTCCTAGACCATCTGTATAGGGCCATTTAAGTTCTGTACTATAAAGATGTTCAATTTCATCCCTCTACTTCTCAATTGTGATCCAAAATAATCAAACTAATAGATTATGACGGATCATCTGTAAGAAGTTAAAGGACTATTTTGAATCTGATTTTAGAAGACAGAATAAAATTGGACACATTAATATAATCTGAGACTAAAATGGCCCCCTCATACATAATCAAATGATTATTTTTATCTTTTTCTCAATAACTTTGAGCTATGAGAAGGGCAATTGTATTAATTCCTCCAGCCCCAGAGAGCACACAGAAACTAGTCACAAAACTGAGCCAAAAATTCAACAAAACATACATTTTAAAATGTTAAAAAATGGAAGAATATTATGTATATTATGCTTCAGTATAAAGTTCAACTGAAAATAAATGCGCAGAATAATATGACACCTATCAAAAGAAATAAAGGACAATAGGCACAAAACTCTTTAGATAAAAACATTGCCATATAGAAATGACGTGCAGAAAAATTGAAGATTCAAATGAAAAATCATTCAGCTTATAACCATTTCGTTCTCTTATCCATGCTAGTCCTCCCTACCACAGCCAACTCTGACAGACACAATGGCCTCCAAAAGATATGCATTGGCTCCAAATCCAAACAACTGTAGTTGCTGAAGTGAACCAGCGACCGTTAGTCCCTCTACTTTTTTAGCACCGCCAAACACTGGGCAGTTTGAAACAAGTATGCACAGCTTTTAAGATAAGAACTCTAGCCAACGAAATAGAACATCTGCTGGAAGGTTGTCGTTGGAACAAGAATGCACAGCTTTTAAGATTTGAAATTTTAACAGTGAAATATGACCACTTCTAGTGGGTTTCTTAGTGTATTGGATACTCAGCAATTGGACCGATCCACATTGTGTCAGACTGCCCCACAACGTCATATTTGTTATGTTACAGACGATTCCAAGATAGCTCACCACAGAGCCACATGATGAACCTAAATTAGACACAAAACTCTACCACTTGAATACTGTAAATATCAAGTCAAACACACATTAAATTCTCAATCTTGATATTCCTATCCTACACTCTTAGGGTCTATTTGGGGCGGTTGTTGCTCCCTATGATGGTGGATGTAACACTGCGGAGAAAAAATCAACTTTTTAAAAAGTTATTGTAGATATTCTTATTTATTATTATTTTTATTTTTGGAAAATATGACTAGAACTTTCTTACTGTTACCACGTATTAATAGATTTGTTTATAAGATGTTAGATGCAGCATCCTACGACACAGCATCCTACGACAAAAAAAAAAAAAACTCTAGAATTTAAGAAATAAATAGTTAGATGGAAGGTGGTGGCAGTCATAATAGGGAAAAAAATCTATCAATAATCCCAGCGTGATCTGTTACGGTATTCTAATGTAAAGTTCAAACATTTCATAATCATCTGAAATTAAACCCCGTTAACCATATCTAACAATAGAATCAAATTGCTCTAGTTTCCAAAGAACCCTTTCATTCTTAAATTATAAAAACAGCAGACCGCATTGATGCAATTCTTATATTTCCTTCAGTACTGATACTAAGATAAAATTTACCACATGCCAATTCATACTCTAAGAACCTATTTAATTTGACTTAATTGCATATAAAATAAGATGAAAACAACTAAAGCAATAAAAATTACAAATTAGATTTCAAAAGCATGCAGCACATACCCACACTTGAAAGCACAAAACCAGACAATATGTCTTCTTCTTCTACTCCAGATACTTTCACCCTGACATTTTCACCAGGCCCAGCCCGTCTCGCCTTCTTCTCATCACAGTATATCGCAAGCACTTTAACTTGTGCCTGCACAAAAAAATAAACAATAAATACTATAAAATCCTTGATGCAACAGATTTTTTTTTTGAAAAAAAAAAAGGTTAATCATGTAGGTTTTGAAAAAATGTACATACTTTATTGGGCATGACCAATAAGCTATCACCTTCATGGATGGATCCAGACTCGATCTTTCCCATCAACACAGTTCCCATGTCCTTGTATTTGTCGATAATAGGCATCCTGCAAAACGAATTATCTTATTAGTTATGAAATAAGAGGGCAGTATTTCAAAATCTAAATGATAATGGGAGCCAAATAGCTGAGATAGTACCTAATAGGTCCTTTAGGATCTCTCAGAGGAATTTCAATAGAATCCAAAACTTCGAAAAGACATGGCCCATCCCACCAACTACAAATTTTCTTATCCACTCTCTTTGCCATATTGAGTCCAGTCAAACCAGATATTGGGAGAAAGTGAACATCTGCTTAGCATCCATAGCAAACAAGTTTTAATTTATGTCATCGTTAAATATAGAAGTACATTGTATACATTGGTGAATCACAAATAAAAATTAAGAAGTTGAATGAGATACGAAGTAATACTAGTTATACAATACAAATTATATGTTTGTTTAAAATTTTTGAAATACTCAGATTAAATAGCAAGATAAAGATTTGTTGCAAAAACTAGAACCTTGCTTGATCATAAGAAATAACTTGTAGATTTAGCAAACACTATATTGAAGTTTGAGAGTTTCAAAACTATAAGGAATATAAAAGAGTAAGCCTCCTGATCATAATAATGCTAATGAAAGTTTATTACAGATATCCAATGACCAAAATTTTAAGCTAAATACTTTCCAAGGTACAAATAACGAATAGAGAAAGAACTCAAAAAAAAAAAAAAAAGAAAGAAAGAAAAATACTTCTAGTACAAAATTACAGGAAAGAAAAAATTCTTAATAAAGAAAAGATAAAGGCTTCTGCATATATTCAATCCAAAATAAGTCTTTAACCTATATATATTCACAGAAAATGGTAACACGGTGTAAGAAAAGTTAATATATATATATATACTTTTATATTTATATATATATATATAATCAGAAACCAGTAACATTAATAATCAACAAGCTCAACGCAAGAAAAATACATCCAACATGGTGTTCAAAGGAAAAAAAAGGAAAAGAGAGGGAAAGAAGTTCGTTGAACAATCTTCTTCATATCTTATCGGGTGTTAGCTATATGGGAAAGTTTTCAAAAATTTGGTGCTACGCAGTTATTTTTCTCTTTTTTTTTTTTTTGGATAAGCATCAATTTTTTAGGCATATCACAAGACTTCGGTGTTAGCTTATAATAATATTAAAAAGCCACTTAAAATTCCAGAGCTAATATTTTGGGCATTCATATTTACTTATAACCTAACTTTTAAATGTCCTTGATTAAAATGTATTCATTCAATTGAAAAGAGGCCTTAATTGAATATCATTAATTGGATCAAAGTAGTTAAATGATATTAGCAGGAATTGCGAATAGCAAAAACAAAATGTTGATCATCTAAATTAAATTGAAGTCAAAATAATTAAGCACAATTGAAAGTATAATCTTAAATTGAAAAAGAGATTAATAAATTTTCCAATAACAAGTAAGCATTTTGAACTTCTAATTTTACAACTCAATAAATAATCACAATCATTAAGTTCAACTTTATATAATAAAGCACATATACTATAAATCAATATGTTTACACAATCATTATTACATTCAAGCATAACACAAACACACTATCATCTGATTTCTGAACTAGTCTAAGCCTTATTTGAACTAGTTTTAGGATATAGACGAAGGCAAGCGAGCGTAAGCAAACACACTTATATCAAATAAAAATATATCAGACTTTGTATTTCATCTCAAGCTTAAACAAAGAACTTGAAATATTAAGAGGAGCTAATCCATATTATAATTATTAAGTATTAGAATTCAAATGATAGAATATTGGTACAAAATATATCTTCTATAATTAAAAAAATCTAAAGCAATTATTATGATAAAATCATATTGCAATTATTCTTAATAATTCACTGAATGAGATTCATATTAACACCAAGAGAAAATGCGCTTGGTTAAGATTAATAGTTATGTACTTAACGAGCACAAACAGAATGTACTTAACAAGTATGGACCATGTTCATGATGAGTTATAAAATATATAACTGAGAGCTCAAATTGTCGGCCGGTGGGTACAACTGAATAAACCATGAGAGCATAAACCAACCCGACCACAAAACAGACAACCAAGGCATTGAAACGATCAATAAAGAAAGGAAGATTTACAAGCATGCCACTCAATTCTTATGTATTTACATATCTAACACTTAAACTTCAATTTTTACATATATGACACCATAGCTATGCATGAAAAGGTGAATTTCACTTTTTAAAAGTTTAAATAATGGAATTTTTATGTGATATGAAAGATTTGGGTGGTATATATGTAAAAATGAAAGTTTAGATGTTAGATATGTAAATACATAAGAATTGAGTGATATGTATGTAAATGCCCCATGAAGAAAAAAAAGCATTACAGTATTCCCAAGCATGCACCATAACAAAACTATGTAACGTTAGTGCAATCCAAGTTTAATAACCACGTCAGAAAACCTCTTAGATGCAGAAAAAAAAATACAGTAACAAACTTACAACTGGACCGGTATGGACTGCACAACGTAGATAAGCAAGAACACAAGCAAAAGATAAAATAGCTCATGTCGAAAACTTAAACAAAAATGTTAATTTGCATTAGAGCATTGTCCCGCTCCTTAAAAACAGGAGCAATAGTATGTTGCATATCTAACAACCAAAAAGCTAGTCATCTGAGAAAACAAGCCAAGGTTTCCAGCAAATACAAAAATACTGAATTATGTATTTTTTTTCCTTAAAAACTATAACTTGAGTTGAAATATGGAAAGCCAGCAGAACAAGAAAATGTAAATATTGCCATAACAACATTTAGCAGTGAATCAGCACTAGTTCAACTCAAAAGTGACCAAGCATACCTTTCTTAGCATTATAACCTGATAACTTGAGGAAAGGAATCATCTTTGATTCAATCTCATCATATCTAAGGAAAAAAACAAATAGTTACCATCAAGATGCATTTAAGAAGCCAACTTTCTACTAATAATGAAAGAAGAAAGAAACCAATGCACCTTTCTTTGGACCAATTCACCGTAGGTTCATCCATTTTATTGACGACCACAACCAATTTTGAAACACCCAATGTTTTTGCAAGCTGAACATGTTCACGGGTCTGTCCTCCCTTCTCATATCCAGTTTCAAATTCACCTTTACGTGCAGATATGACCTAAAATAAAAGGGGTAAAAGTTTTCTCAACAGACTTCTCAATTAGTGTTTGCTAACATATACTTACTAGAACTCCAACATCAGCTTGAGATGCACCACTGATCATGTTTGGCACATAGCTTTTATGTCCCTGTTTGAAAAAGTGATAAAGAATGAAGAACAGAAGCCATGTATCTAAATCAATCTTATGGTTCTTCATTATCAGCATATAGTGTTCTTTAGGTGCACATTTTATTATCCATAAAAATAGCATGCAGTAAATCATAAATATAGAGCAATAAATGGATTATTAATATTAAACAATCCACATCGAATTTCGTTGAAAAAAGAAGTGTATCCCTTCTACTCCATAAACATTTATCTAATAACCATATAGATAAATAAATAATAAAAAAGAACTGAAATCTTACTGGAGCGTCTAAAATAGTAAATCTCGTATTTTCTGTCTCAAAATGTGCTCTTCCAACCTCCACAGTCTTTCCCTGAAGTTCATGCATTATACTAAACACCATAAGTAGCAACAATAGGTTAAGTTCATTTTGACAAAAGATATAGCACAAAATGCTTGAAAGCAAATGAAATTCTTCCGTGTTAAGGAACTGCTCATCATGAGGAGAACCTTCAAATTAATGTCATATAACATCAGCTCTTCAAACAAGATGCAACTGCTTATTAATAAAATATTTTAATGCACGCAATGGGGATTCAAAGTTAAGCCCAATTACAAAAAGGAAAAAGCAGCATATTATTAAACCTCAACAAAAAAGTTAACATTGAACATTTCATTAGTCTCCTGCATGAAAGCAAATGACGATCCAGCAACAACTCACTTGCCACTACCTCGGGATGCATATGCTGCTTTTGACTTTGATTCCACAGTTGAATCTATAGGTGTAAGATCTTCGAAGCCATCCAACACCTAAACCTCTTTCCTAACGCTCCTATTACAATGTTGCTTCTTCACGTATGATCTTATGACTCTGCTTCATCAACCATGACCTTCATTAAACTCTTCATGAGAATTATTTGATGGTCAAGTGAATCGATGAAGTACAAAGTAGGTCAGATTAGCCTGCAAAATTGTAATTGACCATAAACCAATACTATGGAATCAGACCAGGCTGTAAAGAGGATGAATTTTTTAGAAACATATTAATTATAGCGAATTTATTATCATTTTAAGTTGAATTATTCTATTGATTCGAAAAAAGAGGGTCAGATTTGATTTAAAATTCAAACCTTATTTATATAACCCTATTTTCTATAAATAGGGATCTATGCTATGTAATTTATCACTAATGGGTTCCTTAGATGTAAGTTGTGCCTGTGGATTGCTCCAAATTATGTGTGTGCAGTTTCTTCTTCCCTCTCCATCAAGTTTTTGTTGTGCTCTATAATCTATTTGTTAGGCTCAACTTTGAGATTTTTTTTTTAAAGGATGGTTATGGCCCATTTAAGATTTTATTCTGAACTGTTATTTAGAGAGAAAAAACATTGAATTTGGTGACATAATCTATTCTATGTATTCACTAAATATTTTCAATTTTAGATATTTTTATTAGAACCCTCTAACTTTGTGAATTATAACATTCACTATTTAACATTATCTAATAATTTTTTTTTTTTTAAGGTAGCAAAGGAATCTAATGTCTTAGGCTGAGAATTGGATTTTAATAAGCCTTTGGATCTAGGATTTGTAGATTACAAAAACACTCCCTGCAAATTAGGCACAAAACTACATACATTAATTAATCCCTTCCCTAATTGGCAAAGCCTCCCCACAAGATGCACCATTTTTATCTTAAGTTTGTTGATATCGAGGGAGCAAGATCATCCTACACTCAATTCAATGTCCAAACATATTTCATCCAAGCCAACTCAATAGGAAATAATTTAATTTTGTATTAAATCAAAATCAATTTGGAATTGACTTAAAAATAACTTGATTTAATTTTAAATTATATATATATATATATAAATTCACACACATAGATACATACATACATACATACATACATACATATATATATATACATACATATAT